CTCCGCGTGCTCAGTGGTGGACCTGGAAGAGGACCAGAAGTATTCCCCCTGTGCCCTGCTGGCTAGGTGATCAGCTGCGGGGGGACTCTGGGTGCCACCCCAGACCCAGGAAGCACCAGTCGCCAAATTCGTGGAACGCTCCATCCGCCCCACCATCTCAACATTCACGAGCTACCTGGTATCTTGAGGTACGTAGAAAAGACATTTAAAGCTGTGTCTACGTCCGAAATGCTGAATCTCTCCAAACTGAATTGAAGGCTTCCGATCCGATTCAATTCGGAGACATTAATGGGTCTCCCAATTCAGAGATTAGGCCACTGAATCGGGCTGAATCAAATTAGCAACCGAAGTTTCACACAGCCCTACCAGGTTCTGCTGTATTAGCTCCAAGTTGTAAAGCTCTGAAATGCCTATGACTACTACCCAAAGGATAACAAGTCCTGGATTTCAGATTATCCAAAACAGTGTATTTAATTAAAATGGGCTTAGCCAGTGTTCTTCAGGAAAAGAACACTCCTCTGCACTACTATGAAACATAAAAGTACAGAGTATCAGATTACAACCAATTCGTATTATTCAACGTTGTTATAAAAGACTACTAGAAAAATCTCTCTTTTCACTCACCTTTTTGTATAAATTCCCTGTTCAATGGAAGATTCAAACTCCCATGTTTTTTAACTGTTGAACCAGAGAAAGAGTTCCCAGTTAGACACATATCTTCAGATAAAACTAGCCTGTAATGCTATATCATACTACCCACTCACCAGTTTTAAGGATCTCTTCAACAGCTTGGTTTGCTACCTTGTTAATATTATAGGACCTAAACAGAGAAGTGAGAATACTGTATGATAAACAAAACATCCCAAGAAAAAAAATTTTGCATAGATTCAAAATGGAATCAAGGCTGAGGGTACAAATTAACCTTCCCAGAAAATGCCTTAAAAACAAGTGTGCAAAGCTACTTTGGGATTGAAAAAAAAAAATCACCTCGTTTGAAAAGCCTAATAATCCACAACTGAAGTGAAGTCACCCAGATGGTCTTGATTCTGCCTTTGTTACCACATGCAGACCCACCTCGCAAGTGTTGATCCTAATTATTATGAAGTCCAAATGAAAATTCACCTCTATACCTGCAAGTTATACATAAATTGGACCTTTATCTCTGCTGTGCTCTTTCTCCCTCCATTTCCTCTCTTACAGTTACTTATTGGACCCAACAGTCACCTAAAAAAGAAGACTTCTTTATTCTGATAGTGCAAAGACTTTATTAGAGTGGCCTTGAATTTATACTTGAATAGCTTTAAAATTCCTTGGGTATCCAAATATCCTACTCAGCTTCTCAAGCTCATATTTTTTCTCAAGTCAGAATTGCACTTATAATGCTGATAATGTTAAGTATTGTAAAAGGTGTCCACTAAAATATGAGGTAGTACAAACCTACACAGTATTTCCCCCCACAAATATGCAGAAGCCCTTATATGACCTGCCCCATTAATCTTAAATGGGTTTTTAAGTTTGCTACAATCATTGTTAAGTGACTACTTCACCACAACAGTTTCCCTTTTAAGTTACCAATCCTCTGGTTTCATCCCCAATAGCTTCTATAGTAAAGTTAATCAGTTTTAATACCAAATTCTGCAGCAAAATAAAAGACTGAAACATAAGTAATATAAATTGAAATAAATATTAGAACATACCTAAACATTTCATTTATATATTTCAGCAAACTCTTAAGTTCATCTGAGTTTGTCACAGAATTTAAAGCCTTGCTAGACACACTATCAAACAAACAGAGCAGCTTGTCTAAATACAAGATGCTCAGCCATAGTCCATGTAGTTCTTTAAGACTTTAGGAAAATACAAGTTATACTTAGTTCTGCCTTCATGCAGAAGTTGCTCTGGTTTTAAGTTACATTAAAACTCATACAATATATTAAACCAGAGTAAATTTTGTGCAGACAAATCTTATTAATTTTAAATGGGAGTCCTACACCAAAAAAAAGACGACACCTTTTTAATTGGGAAGAGCGAAGAGGGGAGGCAGGCAATAGTATGAGGCAAGGTCCTTGAGCATACATTGGACATGCAGATTTTTTTAAAATTCTTCATCAGAGAGAAGGCTCATGCTCTGGCAATTCACAAACAACCCAAAAGCAGCAGGATTATTAGCTGTATCAATCAAGTACAAAGAAGAATAGTTTTTAAAACTTCAGATCATGTGTTTCAAAATCCCTACTTCACTATCAAAAAAACTTACCAAGCTTTTGATCCAGTTCCAGTGCAGACATTGAGCCCTGAACTCTTCTGTTTTTCCCATGGACCATCATCAACAGATATCTCATAGTAGGAGGCCCTATGAAGCGAGAATTTAAAACTGGGTTTGCAGGACTTATAGTTCACCCTGAATAAGACAGAACACACAGCCTTATCAGGCATGTAAAAATTTAGAAGGGCCAAATTCAAATATGGATAACTTCACTACAGATTTTTGTACAGTATATTTCTGATCTGTAGGCATGTTAAGAGATTGTGGCTACATTGGATTTGTGCAAAAGAAATTGCCACGAGAGAGCAATCTACATTGTTAGGATAAAAATACTTTCAACATTATGTTTTAACTGTAAGAAATCAGAGTAAACTCTTTTAGAAGCCTGACAGAATTGTCCAGTTCACACAATGTCGAGTTTGAATTCGAGGTTCAACTACAACAGTTTCCATCTGGTGTTTTAACTTAGGATTTTTCCTCATTTCAACATGACAGCTTTTCTGCTGATGCCTTTTATATTGTATTCTGTGCAAGGGACTTTGTAGTTCATATACGGTGACAATTCTGAGCAGAGCAGGGTTGGCTGCATTTTCAGAAATGGAATTATATATATATATATTACCTGCTTTGCATCGCTGTTGAATAATGGCATAAACTGTACTTATGTTGATTATTGGTCTCTTAAAATTGCATCAGGAAACATTAGGTGGTGGGCATTTCTTTATCAGTAAGTAATAGCAGTGCTTCAAGTTGAAATCTTGATTACTTCAATAGCTACAAATCCAGCTGGTTTCTTCACAAATAGCTTGGCTGAGTTGTGATTAGCAGGGTTTGCTCATCAATACAAGTTCCTCCCAAACAGTGAATGTGGTACTCTCTTCTTAGGTGTAAATCTTGGGAAGGGGCCAGGTTTCAGTGCAATTTTATTCATACCTTGGTATATCCTTTTGTCTATTTTATGTCTAGGAAACTATTTCCAAGGCTCAAACTTCCACGAAACATATATAGGCTAGAATTTCTGAAATGAAGTAGTACTGGTTGCAAAGTCTGAGTTCCGGATGATGCATTTTGCACCAGAACATGCATTATTCTTAGAAGTGTTGACTGAACAGGCTGCTTTAAAAGTGATGAAGTTGGTCTGAATAGATTGGGAGGAATAGTCCTCTTGGACATTGGTCTTAATGGTTTACTTTGTGTGTTTGAACCTAGAGCTCTGTATGGGCTGATTTTTAAAAGAGCTCAACACAAAAGAACGGAACTAACTGAAAACATGTGAAACAGGGCATAAATAAAATGGACTAATCTGTCAAAGCAATAGGACTTGCACCCTCTGGGAACAAGTTTGTGATAGAGACAGCTATTCTCATACCCTTACTCATTTTCTTTACTGACCCACTGAAAAAGATCCTGAAGGGATCTCTAAGGGTTCTGCCTACTAGATTTTCTCCTGGGCCAAATGTTAAACAAGCACTCGTATATTTTTCTCTCAGAGGTTATAAAATACCTGTCCCTCTACTATCAGTAATTTAGATTTCAAAGCACTGCATACATATCAGTATAATTGATAACAGTGTCACAGTATATTATACAGAAGACTGTCAACTCACTCATTCTTTGCTATAAGAATCCTTGCTCCAGGACATGTTCCTAAAGGTAGAGTGTCTAACAGTGCTTGTGGAATAAAATGGAACAAAAGAGCATAATGCTATAATATATATATCCAATGCTCAAAAGTAACTGGAGAAGATGGAGGAGTATTGGCATATGCCCATGAGTGACTGTATGTTTCAAGACTGAACAGAGAATGCGACAGAGAAACTTAGCATCTTGGGTAGAAGTATGCCTGAACTTGTAGAAAGCAAAAAGGTACATCATGCTTTGAGACTAGTTCCTTCTGCCAGTCTGAGGTTGCAGTCCAGATGGAAGATTAAGCACTCATGGAACATTTATATGTTTCCAGCAGCACCCACAATGTCCCAGGCACTGTACAAACACAAGAAGAAGTTACACTCTAAAGGTAAAAACAGAGAGAGGAAGTAAGGGGAATGGGACATAACATACAAATAAAAGTGGTAACTGGCCAGGTCCTGATTTATGATTATGTTTTAATTGCACTCCCACAAGCGCGCACACAATTTTGCCCATATCACCCAGCCTTGCCATGAAAAGTTGATTGGTATCACAGACAGATGTTTAGGAGTACAAAAAGGATCGCCTCAGTGGCATCTTAGGAAAAGTAGTTCCAAGATTTGATATAGATGGGTTACGTAAAAGAGAGTAAAGTGTCAGACATTCTCTAACGGACAGGGGAGACCATCTCTGATGGAGACAGAGGAAAGAAAGATAAATCATCAGGAGTTCAGTTTTGGCCATCTCAAACTTATGGCAAGACATTCAGAAGGCAATGCAGGACTGGACACATGTTAGGAACAGACAGGTAGATCAGCAAGCCATAAACAGCAGCTCAAGCCATATGAGTCTATTACACCACCCAACGCAAGGGTGTAAAGCTAGGGAGGGATAGAGGATGAAGTCGTGTGCGCACCCCTCAGGCACAGGGAGAAGAACAGATGCCAAAAAAGTAGCCAGAGAAATAGAAGAAATCAAGATTAAATTCATGTCACTCAACCGTCTGTCTGATCAGATCTTGGTAAATACATACTTGGTACACGAGAAACCTGATCACTATGAAATATTCATGGACTAAAGAGAAATGTGACAGCAAAAGCGTATCAATACTGATTACTTGTGAAATCTTCAAAAAAGTATACTTCAATTTTTTTATTTATTTTTTTTTAAGTGCCAGTTTGTGTAGCTTAATCATGCACAAATTCAACATACCTGGATGACAGAGATTCTCCAATGAATACTTCATTCAGTGCTCTCACAGGCAAAAGATGTGGCCCAGAAATCTCTGCTCCTGCAGATAATTAACAAATTATAGCTGCTAAAACATTAGTTCTATGGATGAATACATCTCTAAAAACTGAATTTTCAAAATTATTAGTTAGTCATAACAATCAAAAGTAACCATCTTCATTCAGCTACATATATTTGCATTCTTAAACTTTTGCTCTTGGTTATTTGATTTTCTTAAAATTGTGGCCTAGGCTTTCAGGTTTGTCCACTATCCAAACATGTCTCTTGGACAGTGTGAAAAAACACAATTTGAGCATTTGAACTTGAGCTGAGTGAAAATGTGATGCTAAACTTTTTTGAGCAGCCCATCATGGTGAAATTTGTGCTTGAGCAGACCAGTATAGCTCTGCCCATGAAGACAGAGCTATAAGTATTCACAATCATTATCCATACAGCCCACTTTCCTGGCATTAACAGTAATGATCAGGCATCCGGGTTTTCCATTTCCCATGGGAAAATGGAGAAAAATAAGGATTTCCCCTTTTACCAGAGGAAAACGTGGATTTTTTTTGTTTTAAAACAAAGAAACCTGCAGATTGTGCTTTTGCAAAGAGCTCTCTGCTGTCTGGCAGAGTTCCAGCCTGCAAGGGGCTGGCAGTCAGGCAGGGCGCACCAGGTCCTCACATCACTAGGCAGTCCAGAGAGTGGGCCTTGGGCTGGAATATGCGGCCACAAGGCCCTGGTGGGGAGCAGAATGAGGCTACAGGAGGCTTGTCCAGGGGCAAGGAGGGTGGGGCCAGCTCCCCACCGCTGTGAGCATTCCTGGGGTAACAGGGGGACCTGTGCCCTCCCAGACCTATGCTCAGGATGGGGATGGGGGTGGGGGTGGGCTGGCCGCTGCAGGCTTGGGCTCCTTTCCCTGCTGCCTTCCCCCGGGACCTCCACAGCCCAGTGGGCAAGACCTAGCACTGTAGGGCAGAGCAGGGCCTCCGCAAGAAAGCTCTTTGCCCCTGCAAGCTGTGTTGCCCTGCCAATGTGTCTCCTGCCCACACAGTAGCAGCATGAGGTTGTGCCCCTTGCTGCTGCTGCACAGACAGGGGATGCTTCGCCATGGCAGCATGGAACTTGGACAAGCCTGCACTACAACATACGGCCCACCATGTGGCCCGCCAGGCATTTCCTGAGGCCTGCGGTGCTGCGACGGGAAATGAAAGTAAACACTGTTTATTTTCATTCCCACCCCTTGTCCCTCCCCCAGCCCCTCAGCAGCTTCCTAATGGCTGCTGAAGGGCTGGGGAAGGGACAAGGTTCCCACACACTGCATCAGCCTGACATTGCCGACGCGATGCATGTGGGAAAAGGAGTAGCCATGTGCCTCTCAGGACAGGACGAGCCCAGCTGAAGCAGCAGGGGCTCAGCTGCACTTTCCCCCTACCTGCGCCAGTCAGTCCCAAGAGGCACACGGCTCCACTGCATGCCACTTTTCCTGGCCGGTGCCGACCCAGCTGGGTCCGTCCCATCCAGAGCAGCATGCAGCTGAAGCTGGCTTCCCACATGCTGCTGAGGACAGGAGGAGGCCGGCCAGGCCAGCACCAGCCAGCAGAAGCGGCGGCAGAGCCGTGTGCCGCTCGAGACAGGACAAGCCCAGCCAGAACAGCAGGGGCTCAGCTGCATTTTCCCCCTGCCTGCACCAGTCAGTCCCGAGCGGCACACGGCTCCACCGCCACTTCTGCTGGCTGGTACTAGCCTGGCTGGCCTCCTCCCATCCCCAGCAGCACGTGGGAAGCCAGGGGGGGTGGGGGGCAGCAGCACCTTGGCAGGCATTGTCCTGGCATGACTCTAACCCTAACCCACTGGGAGTATGCACAGCAGCGAGGAGCTGTACCCGCCTCCTGCAGGTGACAGCCGGGGCTCAGGCACCACTGTGGGGGGAGGGGGCTGTGGACC